AGAGGACAACTGGGGAACTCAGAACAATAGCCATTTACCAAAAACTATCCCTCTACTGCTGAGTTTTGCTTATTCATTTTGTTTTGTATATGTACAAAGTATTTAAAGGGACATACTTTTTCAAATTAATGAATAAAATTATACATATTATAGTGTACAACAAGACATTTTGGTATATGTGAACATTGTAAAATGACTAAATCATGCTAATTAACATCTTTACCTTACATACTTATCTTTGGATCTTTTATTTTTGGTGAGAACATTTGAAATCTGTTCTCAGCAATTTTCAAGTATACAATACATTGTTATTAACTATAATCAACATGTTGTACAGCAGATGTCTTCAACTGATACATATTGATTGGCTATCAGTGCTGTATATATTTGGCTTCCCTATTAAAATAATCCAAAGTGGAATTCAAATTTGGCCCAAAAAATACCTTATTTCTATCTTATTATACAAAGCAAATCACTAAAAAAAGTTACAATACTTTATATGAGAGAATATGAAATTGCTGGTTTTAGAAAACATTAGTTTTGATGCACCAAGAGTTAGAGGGCAAGAGGGGTGGAGGGGAAAGAGAGGGCAGGGGCAGGGGGGAGAGATGGCCCAACCAATGTATGCACACAAATAATAAAAAAAAAAAAAGAGCTAGAGGGCTGGCAGTGTGGCTCAGTTGGTAGGGTGTCTGCTTAGCAAAGTGTGAAGCCCTGAGTTCAAACCCCAATGCTGCCAAAAAAAATTGCACTGAATTAATATTTTTGCATATAGTTCTACACATAAAACATGACGTTAAGCCTACTTGATTTTCTCTAGAACAGAAACATAAAAATTATTTTAAATTTGTTTAAAATCTCCCAATTAAGGTGGTTTTAAAAATTTGAATCTCTAGGTCATGATTTCATATAAGCAAGGTTCAAACACATCCTTCAATATAAATAAAAGGAAGATATTTGAACATAAGAGGAAGTATATTATTGAATTCACAAAGTGCCAACAATTGAATGGTCTAAAAAGGATTATGTTACTATTTAAAAAGCAAACATAAAAGAGCTGAGATGTAGCTCAGCGGGAGAGCACTTGCCTCATATGCACAAAACCCTGGGTTTGATCCTCAGCACCACAAACAAACAAACAAACAAAAAACAAAAAGCAAACATAAATTTATCATCAGCAAAAAAGGACAATGACCTGAATTGAGCCTGGCGGTACTGTTGCATTGTCAAGTAGAATCATCTATTTAAATAAGGCTTCAATAGCAAAATATGAGCCTGGCTTTCTAGTTTAATCCAAGCTTTGCAAATTCAAACATTTAATACCTAAGACATTCAAATCTTGGACTGCATTTACTGGATCTTATAACCAAGGCAGAAATGCTTACATGAATAACAATTGGACTAAACACAGTAAATTCATGCATTTACTTTTATTCTACCCTGATGTAAATTTTAGTGGACCTTCAGTCAGTTTGATTTTCCCTGGCTCTCTTCATGTGAACATGTCAAATAGTTACAAATATTTACATGATAACCTACTTTGATGGCATCAATACAATCACAATGGAAGATAGGAAGAGGAGAATTGTTTTTCTTTGACTTTCACCTCAAATTCTGACATAAAGTCTGCTAAAAGTCAGCTTCTGAATCTCTCATTTTCAAATTCCTTTCACCTAAAAAGTGAAGGTCTTTTTAATCATTTGATAAGAACATTATTAAATTTGTATTTTCAGAATCATTTATGAAACACTACTCTGGTAAAAGTTAATAAAGAGATATATATCACAGATACATCTTAACTCACTTATATGCAGATCAAAGACAAGTTTTAAGCAGAGGAGAATCACTCTGAAGTTCTAAGTGAAACTCCTGTCTAAAATCCAAGAGAAAAGTACCAAGCATAGGGACAAGCCAGAGCAAGTGTCCCTCCCAGGCCTTGTGGCCTAACTGCATCAACAAAGTAGTTGAGTTCCTGTGTTTCTTCAGTAGGCCTTCGCTTAACAAGATAATTTTAATTATGTAGATGGGTCAAGTTAAGCAAACCTGTATGCTACAGAATTATCCCAAATCTCAGGTCTAATTTAAGTATACTTGTAATCCCCCCATCCACGGACATACACACTTTTACTAGTAGGGATGCAAAAAGTACCCTTCCAAGGAAACATTTTCCCTTGGTGATGGCTACGGTGGCTGCACAGTGGTAGGGGCTGGGCATGGCCTTTGTGGGGTGTGACAGACTAAAGTGTAGACTCCTGTGCCACCATCTACTAGTTATCTCAATAAATATGACCTCTACTTGTAATCTCAATAAATATGAATGCTCAGAGTTTCCTTACCACCTGTAGGGAAAATTACACTTCCTTGTTGAGTTGTTGAATTAGGGATAATTTATGCAGAGTGCCTGGCACATCGTGAGCTCTGGATAAATAGTAACTTGGTTTTGTTTGTTGTATTTTGTTTGTGATGTTTTTGCTTTTGTGTTTGCTCTGGTGGTGATGGTTACTGTTCATTCCTCACTAGAGAATTTTGTGTTGCCTATTCTCTACAAGCAAACACCAGTGCTGTAGTAGCCTGGCCCTCCTCTCATAGTCTACATAAGTATTTCTCCACGGTGGGTGGTTTTGCCCCATATGGGACATTTGGTACTGTCTACAAATATATCTAATTATTACAACTTGGAGAGTGGGGTTGTTGCTCCTGCCTTCTAGCAGGTAGAGGCCAGAAATACTACTAAACATCCTACAATACACAGAATGGCCATCCAAACTCAAATGACAATGGTACTGAGTTTAAGAAATCCTGGCCTTCTTTATCATGAGAAAAATAGTTAATTCTCATGGCAGAGAAACCATAGCAACCATCAGAATATTCATCATGAGTTTCAAACTACCCATGAAAAGAAATAAGTATGAACAACCATTGAACAGGCTGCCTAGTAGGTGGGTATGGGTGGGTGTGTTTGTGATTTATTTTTTAACAGTACATCCATTCTTGCTTCAGATAAACATAGTGTGATGAAGTCAACGTTCTACACCATCAATTTGGAATAAATGGCTAACTTGCCTTATTCAAAATAGCTTTCAGTAATGTCAGAAATCTTTAATTCCAGGAATTAAAAATCTTGATATGACTGTGTACATATCTAACAGTTCATCAGACTGGACACTTAAGACTAGATTCACTCCATACCTTAGTATAAGAATATTTACTAATGTATATATTTCAGCGTATAAAATTTTTATGAAAAAAATAGTTGTGATATAATCCAAACAAAACTGAACATTCGTTTTGCTTTGGAGACAAGGCCATACAAAACAACTATGTAAGAGCACCTGAGAGTGGATTATGAACCCTCTGCACAGGCGGAAGATCTATGGACCTCGGAGGAAATGAACTCCCATTTCTAATCACATGTATCCAAGCTGGTCTTCTCAGCCCAGCAACTTTTACTGGTGTACTATGAATTTTAAAATCAAAACCTCATTTATATTTTTTAAAAAATCAACACAGCTATTTCAGAAATTCTGTTTTCTTTTGAACTCAAGTTAGTGAAATTATCCCATCCTAATATGTGTTGGCTTATCACATGAGGAATGATATTTTCAAACCATTATAAGAAACAAAAGCCAATCCAGGGAATGTGTGAGGGTAGAAGCAAGTTTAAAAAAAAAAAACTGGGGGAAGGGATAAAGTATAGCAATAATCAGTTCTCTACTCCCTCCCCTAGTTTTTCCAACAAACAATGTACAGTTTTCGTACTCTCTAAGAATGTAAAAAATGCCCCAAATGCATAATCTACAATAAGATAATAATTTGATTTATTTTTATGCCACTTAGTTTATGCAAAATAGAAATTTCAAAAATTATTCCCAGGAAAGTCTACTCCTGTAAATAGGAATCCTTGAAATCATTTCACTATTGAGAACCTACATATTCTTTATAAGTTTAAAAATGTAAAAAAGAATTGCACCCAAAAGGTGAGACAGGAAGACTGCACACTGAAACTAGCCTGAGTATAGAGCAAGTTCCAGGCCAACCTACATAGTGTACACACATACATAGTACACACTACATAGTGTGACCTCAAAAAAAAAGTAGAAAAACAAGGGGAGGAAGGAAGGAAGAAAGGAAGGGAATGGATGGATGGAGGAAGTAGGGAGGGAGGGAGGGGGAATGGAAGGAGAGAATGAAGGGAGGAAGGAGAAAATGGAGGGAGGGAATGGGGAAGAGGAGAGGAGGGAGGGAAAGAGGGAGGGAGTGGGAGGTGAGAAGGGAAAGAAAAGGAAAAGAAAGAAAGAGTGGAACCACTAAACTCTATGTAGCAATCTTAGGAAGGGGAAGCCACTGGAAGTAAACTGGCAGTAAAGAAATCTGCACTTAACAGGTGAGATAGCATGTTAAAAAAGACTTGACAGTGTGGGCAAGTCATGCTTGAAGGCGAAGAGGCAACAGCAAAGATGTGTGGATTCTGCTTTGTGCTTAGTTTCATGAGAAATGAAGGAGATTTAAGCTGAGAATGAAAAGAATGTTGAATCAAAGCTCTTGATAGTTTTTTAAACCTAGTGACAGGATTTGGTGTCTGAGTTCTCAGAAACTAGAACGAATAGTTCTTACAAAGCCACAGCCAGGCTTCAGTAGAGGCTGAGAAAAAATGATTGAAATCCACAAGGTTGTAAAGAATGCCACTGACAAGGTGGGGGAGCAAACTCTGTGAAGAAGTGAGTTAAAGTCAAATGAGAGACCCAGTTTTAAATAGTGGATAATGAACTTAAGAATCTCACCAGCCTAGTAAAAATGGATAACTTTTGTAATTTCATTTTAATGTTGGACTATAGATACATAATGAATTTTAGGGAAGACTGGATGAATAGGGAATTACTCTCCACTGACAGTACAGGACATGCCCACTCTGTCAAAGGCAAAAGGCAAAGAGCCTGAGTCTGGGCACATGGGATTGACTGTGTTCATCCCTTCCTCAAGTATTAACTGTGCCCCTGTCACACATCAAGCATTGCATAGACAATGCAATCCCTATCCAGCAGACAACAGGCTGGAGGCAGCTGGAGGAATGAACCCACAATGGGAAGAGTGGACGCACCCCATCTGCAAATCCTGCCTTGTGTTCTTGGTAAGGGCCTGGACCCTATTTCCATCTCGTATTCACCCAGCTCAAAGTATAGCAGCTACTAGCGTTGAACATGTCTTTCTTCAGGAATTGCTGAGGTTTTGATAAATCTTTATAACTGTGGAAAAGCCTGAAGTCCCTCTGCTCCAGCTCTTTGAGGACGCTGTACCAGAACCGCACGACACTGTTATCACTGCCACTGACTTCAAACCCCGGCCAGTGGAGATGGATCTCAAAGATGAGCTGTCCAATTTGTTCAAGGACATCTTCCACAATAAGGTTTTCCAGAACTTTCCATTCTGCACTTTCCAGATCTGCCTTGAGAACATCAATCTGCAACAAAGCAATGACATGAGATTGCAGATTTGATAAATCACTGTTAAATATGTCTTCATACCAGGATTCTCACACTGTAACCATCTCCCAAGGCAGCAGAAATTTTTAAATTTCAGAATTGGAGGTCATCATCCAGTGGCTGTATAGGACATAAATTTTCACCCTTACTTTATACCAAGTGTTAATAACATACAAATAATGAGACTTCCACCAGGCAGGTAGAAGTCGTAGCAGCCTCTCTTGTTTTCTGCCCAAAGTGAATGGAGTCCAACGAGGAGGAGCACATGCACGGAGCTCAGAGCCTACAGCCTTTCTCCACAAGCTGGTTGCCACTCCGAGGAACCCAGCCAAGTCCTGGGAATGATGGCTATGGGGAGAGACTGATAGAGGGCCTTCTCACAAGCCTCACCCTCTCTCCAACTTCGTAAGGACTGGAAACCAAAGAAGAGTTCTTAGGTTTCTGAATATTGGATTCTAGAAAATTATTACCCCATATTTCTTTTTTAAAAAAATATATACCAGTATAACATTCTTAAAAAGACGGCTGGAGGTATGGCTCAAGTGTTAGAGTGCCTGTCTTGCAAGTCAAAGCCCTGAGTTCAAGTCCCATACCACCCAGAAAGAAAGGAAGAAAGAGCCTTACTCATTTAATGAATATAAGTCTATATCCCAGGTGAGATGGAAAGAAAGAAGGAAACAGAATGGAAAAAGGTATTTTGCAATTACTCAGGTTATGAGAATCAGCTCATTTCTGCTGGCTTTTCACAAATCCATTAGAGTAACAGAAAATACCTTCAGAAGCAATAAAAGCAGGGCTGGGGGTGTGGCTCAATGGTGGCACAATTGTCTAGCATGCATGAAGCCCTAGGGTCAATCATTTCCAGTACCATTAAAAAAAAAAAACTTAAAAACAAAAAAAAGGCAATGAAAGCTAATCCCAAACTGAGTGCTTCTTCCTTTTACAATATCCATCTAATTCCATCTCAATGATACTGCAATGGTGATTCTGTTAGTATCACTCAGACTCAGTGAGTAACCCACCCGAGTCACACAGCAGGAGACACCATAATGAAATCTAACAGGAGTCTGTCTATGGTAGCCTTGTGGTAAACCACAAGAGGGAAAATGGTAACTCAGAGTTCTGAAGAGAGTTTGGTCTTGGAAGATAAGATGCTACTTGGAGAGTGAACATGGGTTAGTGAGTGAGGTCCTGTCATCGGTATCACTGCATAACATTTGCACTTTTCAAGTGATCATTTTACCACACAAATTAAAGCTGACAGCATTCAGACAGAGATTGGGATAGTTGGAATGGAAGGAAATACTGCAAATGAACAAAGGCTATAGAAGTAACCACAGGACTTTCGCCCTTCAGAAAAGTCATTAATATCCTGCCCTACAGAAGTGAAAAAGTCTTTGCTGGCTTAGAAAGAGGGATAAACACCAAGACTGATTCTGCCCAGCCTCTCCTCTCAGTGCATGCCTGTTGAATCCGAGGATGAACTGTGAGGCCCCCAGTGTCTGGGAAGAATCCCTTGTATGATTTCAGAGTTGGATGGAGCAGAAGGGTGCATAGAATTTACATATAATTGCTCCAAGAAAATGGGGTTTGTGTAATGGCCTGAGACACTATGGAAATGGTTTCACATTCTTGCATTGGATAGTACCTTCCTGATCCACCAAGGAAAGAGTGAGTGACAATCTCAAGAGCACTGAGAGACCTTAGGAAAGAGCAGATGTTTGTAAACTAGCTTGTGGATCAATGGTTCCAAAATCAAAGAGAAAAAATAAAAGAGAAAAAGCTTTCTTTATGAAAGTAACCTAGCAAAGGCAGGTCCCATGGGAACATACACCAGGCTAAATTGATTCTTGTGAGTTGGACATAGGGAATTAATTCACTCCTTTTTTCCTATCTCAGCTGCCCTGGCACTTCCACAACTTTGTTTAATCTTGGTGGTTTTAAATATAATGCTCTTGGACTAAGGATAATTAAGCTGCTAAAGAAATATTTAATCAAAATTTCACAAAATGTTCTAATTGGTACAGAATACATCTAAAACTCTAAATCAGCATTTGTTCAGAGAGGTAAAACAAGTCCTGTCGGGGGTTGGTACCAGTGGGAAGGAGGAGGATAGAAGGAAAGGATGTAGGAGGGTGAATATGGTGGGTGGATTATGTATTCATGTATGAAAATGGAAAAATGAGACCTGCTGAAACTATTCTAAGAATGGGAAGACAGGGATAAAGGAGAATGATGGAGGGGGTTAATTTAACTATGATATATTATATTGTAAGCCTTTTTGTAAATGTCACAATTGTACCCCCTGTACACAATAATATGATAGTAAAATTTTTTTAAAGTATCATCATTTGTTATATCAATTCACATGGCAAAGAATTTCTTAGGCTCCTTATAGATTTATTTTCGTCATAGTTTTCTGTAAGTTTTCAATGATGAGTGACATCAATAAATCAAAGTATTAAAGAGACAGGGTAGAGTCGGGGATGTAGCTCAGTAGTAGAGCAATTGCTTAGCAAACCTGAGGCCCTGGGTTCAATCCCCTAAACAAAAAGAAAAAAAAGGACAGGGTAAATTTAATTAGGTTAAAACTAAAAACTATACTTCCGTGGAATAAAGGAATATACGTTATATAGTTTTTTCCAAATATATTTTAAAAATAAATGATCAATCAGATCATTTGATCAATGAGCAACTAGAGGACAATCAACTTATTAAGCTAAATTATAGCAAATACATGTTTGCTTAGAAAGTCAATTTTTATTTACATAAAGCAAATCTATTTTAAAGAGCAAAAAATATTTTGAAAAATGACAACACATCCACATCCACGCTTTTTGATTCTAGTGACTGAAAATCTCCCACATCAATCAGAATTGTATAGGTTGACCTGAATCATTCAGCCTATGGATGGTGTGACAATTTGTCAACCATAAGCTCTTCCCTGACTTCTGACCTGACAACATAAATAGCCAAAATGTGGTGAATAAAACATGCTTTTCTCTCCCATTGTACATTTTCTACTTTTTCTATTTCAGACTGTTCTATTACCATTACTATTTTGCAAGTGTAACTTCCAATATCACTGCATAATGTATCCAATATTATTGTTATTATAAAGCACTAAACATCTCTGAATATGATATGCCACTTTTAAGATTCTAATATCAGCCTTCGATAATTATGGCACTAAAAAAATCGTGCAAATGACTATATTGTATAACTCCTTGTAAACTCTGGAATAAGTGAAGACCTATATCTGTGGGCAGAAAAGTCTTACACCATCACTGGGCATAATTTCAAAAGTAATACAGGGTGGTTCTATCAAATATTATCTGCTTCTCCTTGTACCAGGGATGCCAATAAGTTGCCTTTCATGAAATTTTTTGAAGAAATGAGACTTTTAATGTTAGCTGGATTAAGATGCGATGCCTTTTGGCTGCTTCCTCATCAGTGGCACAAGTTTATCCCTGTGACCATTCACCTAGATCTGCAGGCTGAGATAAAAGGGGAGAAAGAGGGTTGGGTGTTTGAGCAAGTTTTCTAGAGCTGCCGCATCAAAGTACCACAGACTTAAACAACAGTAATGTCTTTTCTCACAGTTGCAAAGTCTAGAAGTCCAAGATTTCTCCCTGAGGGAGAAACTCTTCATGCCGCTCTCCTAGCTTTGGATGGTTTCTGGCAATTGTTAGCATTTCTTGGCTTCTGTGTCATCTGATCTCTGCCTCCATCATCATGTGTTGTTCTCTATGTGTCTGTGTCCAAATTTCCCTTTTTATAATGGCATCAGCTATATTGGATTAGAGCCCAGTGTGTTCCATTTTTACTTCATTTTAAGTAAATACATTTGTTATGATTGTATTTCAAGTAAGGCCACTTGAGGTACTGGGTTTGGACTTCAACATATTAGTGGGGGAGGTGGCACAATAACAATAGTCAAGCAGCCATCACAATAGAGCTTTTTCAAGGCAATGTGTGTTCAGGAGCCAATTCCCAGAGCCAGTGCTTAGAAAAAGGCCGGCAACTATCTGAGGCAATTAGGTACAACACCCTGCCAGGCCCTACATCAGACAACACTGGCAGCTCTAACCTTGCCAAGTGCCAAACCCAGGGCAAGTCAACAAGCCTCCAAGGCCAATGGAAACCCCTGTGCCCCATTCCTCAGTTCCTTCTCAGCCACACAACCAGGCACAGCAGGTGCAGCCTGTCTTTGGCACTTTCCCACTCTATTCCCATCCCTCCTGTTCCTCCAGAACATCTTTTTAGTTCCCAATCCAAGACTTTTCCCTTTAAAAGGCCTTCCAGCAGAACAGGCAGGTTTTGCTACATGGAGCTGGGCTTTCAAGAGGACAAAAAGTGGTAGCTACAGTACCTTTCTAGAAGGCTCAGTCTAGACATCACAAAGTGCCACGTCCACCACATTCTATTGGTCAGAGCAAATCACAAGGCCAACCTAGATTCAAGAAGAGGTAAAACAGACTCCAGCCATTGAGGGGAGGAGCATACACAGAGAGGGTAGGAGGATTTGTTCATGGCCATCCTTGCAGATAATTTCCAGGGATTAAAAACAACATTACTTTACATTATACAAACCCATAAATGAACTACAGTATTAAAGTAGACACAACCCTTTTCTAGACATAAGTAACACTCAGGGAAAATAAATATTGAATATATCAGAATGTTATTCAAGAAGAAACATTACTTAAAATATGGCATTTGCTATTAAATTTGGTTTTCCTTAGAAGTTGACAGAGAACCTTAAATCTCCAATGGGTTAGGATTACTAACCTAATACCAGCCTATAGGCATGATACATGCCTATAATCCCACCATTCAGGAAGCTAAGACAGAAGATTGAATTTGAGGCTAGTCTGAGCTACATAGGGAGTCCAGGTCAGTCTGGGTTATATAGGGAGACCCCTTTTCAGTTTAAAGGAGGGAAGAGAGAGAGTGAGAGAAATGGAGGGGGAGGGAG